TGATCTACTTGTATTTATTTTCATTTATAAGTGAATGATTTTAAGGTTGATTCTCATAAAAACGAATTTGATACCAATTATTTTTTGTGAACATAGTGTTACTCAGCACAATCATTCAACGTTAATATATATGATTGTGATATGAGTATATTTATGCGACTTTGTTACCTTATTTCTTTGCATTTACTTAGTTAATTTTCATTTATTATAATAATAATTTAAGAGATTTTCGTATTATAATAATAAATAGTCAAATGGAACAATTTGGAGCAGTTTTAGACTTGGATTGGATAGCATGCGTGGATAGCATATGGGCTGAACGTTTTTGGTGTTTAAATGGTGTTATACATGTGCTAAAATCTGGAGAAATTAAAGTTGAGGCTTGGAAGACAAGGAATTACACAAAAAAGAGGAATCCTAGTTGGAGAGGAACATTATCTTATCCTATCATATTTTATCTTATCATATCCTATTTTATCTTATCTTATCTTATCTCCAGCTGCAAGAAGGAATCCTAATCACATTCCAACACTCTCTACCTGATTCTTAGAGTTTTAAAATAACTCAAAACACCTAATCCCTTTTCTCCTTGGATTCATCCATTCCCCCTATATATATATATGAATTCCTACAACGATTTAGGATGTGCCATGCCTACCATTCATCCATTGAAGTTGCTGGAATTTTTAGAGTTCCTTTTATCTTTGTTTTAAGTTTCAATGTTTATTTTAGATTGCTTTTCAGTTCTGATGAACATGTGTAACTAAGTTTCTTTTTAGCTAGAGGTGAATTCGAAGCCATGATCATATATTTTATATAAATTGATTACATCCAATTATTGTTTCATAAGACATGAATGCGATTTACTTATCTGATTTATAGAGAACTTATTCTTGTATGTTTATTAAGGATGCATACTTGGTTTGCATGCAGGGATTTGATGCTAGAATATAAGAGAATTTCACCTAATCATTATGAAATTATATTTGTAAGTAGTAAAAGTCACTAGTCATGATTGAGTTAAGTAAATTCTTGGTAGGAGTATCATGCTTTTCATAGTTATGAATGCTTTGTCAATGCTTATGATTTTCATAGAACTTAATAATCTTTGAGATGTATCTCTATCATGCTTTTCATAGTTAGGGAACTTGAGAAGAATAATTTGGTTGTGTCGCTGAGTCTAATTCAATGAACTTAGGAAAATTTGAGAGTTAATTAGTGCTGTTCACAGTTAATTTGAGACATTGTCATTCATGGTTTATAAGAAGAATAACTGGAAATCAATTTGTATGCATATGTTTCATGTGTGGAGAAGAATTATTTAGCTATCATTTCATCCATATTTCATTCACAACTTAATTGACTTGTTGCACTTTACTTTTGTTTTAATTAAATTCGTCCAAAATCCCCCCAGTCATTGTTTTGTTGTTAGTTTAACTTAGTTTTCAGTTTTATAAGTTTAATTCGTGTTGATTAGCATCCCTTCCAATCTTCGGAATAGAACGATCTCTACTTACTCATACCACGATTGCATAATTTATAAGGTTTAATTTGTGTGTTAGTTTCTATCACATCAGATTGCATTAGTTTCTATCACATCAGATTGCATTGAAAAAAAATTGGGTTTGCCCTTTGGAATGGAATCATAAAATGAACAAGAGGCTGATTTAAAAATAAGTGCTTCCAAATTAGAAGTCACAACCCAAAAAATTAGCTATATATTGTAATATATCCAAATACTTGATTGGCTTCTTAGCAAACGGAATGGTTTATCTTCTAGAGAAGGGGGGGTGGAGTGGTGACAAGTCATAATTATCCATACTTTTCGTGCTCGAAGAGGTTATGGGAAATTGCACTCTGCTTATGACCATAAACAATCAGACTCTGTAGCTCAAAGCATCGAAATGGAAACCTCTCACATTTTTTTTTGCTATTAAGGAACCGCAGTTTGTGCCCTAATTGTTTATTAATGGTCAAAAAGCTTCATTCATAGATTTGGACCTTTCCCACCGCAATCATTGACTGCCTATTTCAAGAGATATTTTTTATTGTGACGAGAATACAAGTGGTACACCATGTGTTTTGATAGAAATGGTGGGATATTTTATTTTTTAAGTTATTAACTTTTCATCATACATATCTCACCATTTGTATAATGACAAGTGATATACCATGCTGTATACTAGTCACATTGAAAAATCTCTTCCACTTCAAAACCCTTGTTTCTTTTTTAAAGGTACTCAACACAATATAATTACCAAAGAGGAGACCCATTACAAAACCGTAAATTTTAATAAATTTTTTTTATCATAAACCAAGTGCATAAAATTTGGCGCCAAGTTCAAACAGAATATCTTGATTCGAATATTCATAATTTGATACAAAGCATATTTTGATTAGATGTAGTTCATTAATATTGATACAATTATTTGGTGTCAATCATAAACCTACTATAAACGAAATGAGTTTAGATAGGGTATATATAAGTATATAGTTCAATTAATTTTTATATGGCAAAATTATGACGTAACGTGATAAATAAATTTGTACCTAAAAACATGCATGAAGTATGATTTATAGACATAGTGATAACATAATGTCCTAGGCAGTCTAACCTCAACCTTCTAATGAGATCCAAACTTGATTAAATCATGTAAAATTTAGAGCAAATCGTTCAAAGTTACACCCTTCTTGTTTTATGCAATGAAGATTTTACCATCCCCAATGCGCGCCACCCCCCCCCCCCCCCCCCTCTCTCTATTTTCCCAACACACTCATTTGATGGAATTGCAAGCGTTTTAGACATGAACTGACCAAATGGTACATAACCTTAAAATTTCAAAATATGTACCGACATGTAACTCATAACATAAGCAGCAACTTCTTCTGCTGTCATTTCATGTCATGTTACATAAGAAATTAAGAATTGACATTTCGGTGAAAAAATATTAGTGCTGTTATTTTTACCGTTATTGTTGATTTGAACATTTGAACATCTCTTCTAGAGACATTGTTAACGAGGATCTAAGAAAATTTTTGGTATACTTCCTATCATTTATAAGGAGCTTATTTAATTTGAAACTAAAATGGTGTTTTGGTGAAAACAAAAAACAAAAAAGAAGAGGATCCTCTATGAATCCACTTTGTGGGGATTCTAGGGATCTCCATATCCTAGCCGTTTATCGTACATCATGCGGTCAGTTTTTATCAGGTACTATTTGTGTTTAATTTTAAATAAAAAAGTTAAATGAGTTTTGACCACACGATGCACGATGAATGGTTAAGATGTGAGGATCTCTAAGATCTCTACAATTTGGATCCGGATGGGATCCAAATCCAAACAAAAAGGTCTCAATACACAATTTTATTATTATTTTCTATCTCACTTCAACGACAAATTTAGTATCGAATTATTAAAGATTGATTAGTTGACTTAACCTGACCTCCACCCCATTGATATCCTTGTTTAAATAAAAACATTCTCTATCATTACACTTAGGCATAATTCACTTGGTACATTAGTAGTTCATAATTAATTGGAATCATACACACCATCCACACGAATCAAACCCAAGACTTCTTATTTACAGATGAAATTTTTTTTCAATAAATCATAGTATTAAGTTGCCATAACTAATTTTTACTAAAATATTGTAATTTCATCAACTAATATAATCTCCACACCTTTAAGAATTCAAAAATACAAATCTTATTATCTAGTTGCGGCATAATTTTTTAAAATTGCTTTAAAGTGAAACAATGTAAGGGTCGACGACGGTTTTGTGACAACATAAGTAGACATTAATTATTAATTAATCTTTATTCAAGGACAATGAAGAATAAAACCACTCAGTTATTCAATATTTTTATGATAGTAAAAGAAACTGTTCGTGTCTTTAACCATATGATAAGAAGCTTCCAATGTTTTCGCGAGCAGCCCCAAATGTTTCAATCAAGTCAAACAAGTCCAAGCCCTAATAATCTATCGAAAGAAACTCTATAGAGTATGTTCAATATCGCATGAAGTTACTAATGTAAATGTTATACTATGGTTGAACGACAATGTTATACTTTAGAACGACATTGTTGTATAACATAATGTCATCAACAATATGAGTAAATTTGGTAACACCAAGTAATTTTATGATTGTCGAACCAGTAGTTTTTATTTTATTTTTTTAAGTTGTCATGTGTCAATAATACAAATATATATATATATATATATGTAAGTTTGTATTTATATGATATTTTGTTACTGCTAATAACGTTGAACCCATTTTATGTAAGTTGCTTCAAAATGTTTGAACAATACTTGAGTAGTGAGTGAGTGAGTGCATGAGTGGGGCTTGGCATGCTTCATGCTTCGGCCTATACAAGAAACTAAAATAAAAAGAAAAAGGGAAAAAGGTTACAAATTCTATAAGACCATATCTAACCTTTGAGTTTTAACTTAGAAACAGTTTTTCTGTTTCAACGTTTCTGAGTTAAATTTTTAGCCCAAAATGATTAAAGAATGAATTTAGCATAATTTTTTTCTTAAAGTAACTTAAAAAAAATTATTTAGGTTATCCTAATTTAATTTTATGAATGTATTAACCTAAAATATTTAGAATAAAAAAAATATTGAAAAATCACTAAATCGACATCATAAAACTCATGTAACACTATGAAAGAACATGAAACACACGAAATAATTTTTTTTAATTACTTTAGCCGTTGGATTTAAATTTAGACTATTAAATATTTTTTTACCATTGAATTTGATCATATTAGATCTTAGTCGTTGGATTCAATAAGTTTATAAATATAAGCTTAAAAAGAAATACACATATATGATGAGTTAGCCAACTAACCCAAGGAGAAATTCTGGTATAAATTTGTTGCAAAAATGAATTTTGGTTTAAAACTTATATTTGGCTTAAGGGATAGAGTAAATTGGGATTAAAACTTAAAATTTGAGTTTTAGTCCAAGGTTGGAGGGAGGGAGGGAGGGAGGGAGAGAGAGAGGGAGAGCATTTCCATGCGTGAGAGTTCAAACGTTTTGGGAACACCAACGTAACGAATTAAAAACAGAAGGACAAATCACATGGGACTAAACACAACACACACACAAGCGAGAGAGAAAGGGCAGCTTAATCTCAACAATTTCTCACACCCGTTACGCTAATTAGGGTTCTTAATTCCCTGATCCCCCATCTCTCCATAGCTCCCATAACTCTGTTTTCCCTCTGTTTCTGCAACAAAACCCATCTGGGTCGGTTTTGTTTCTGGAAATTGTGAGGTGGGTGCGATAGGAGTTTTTGTGGGTGCGTTTGTGATCTGGATCTCTTTTAATTGAGTGATCTGGGTCTGAGATGGAGGAGTCTTGGCTGTGCCAGTGGAGCGTCATTAGATCTCTCCTCGCAATTCTTCAGTGGTGGGGTTTTAATGTCACCGTAATTGTCATGAACAAGTGGATCTTTCAGGTCTCTGCTCTTTTGCCTTTCCCATATTTTCTTGATTTCGATTTGTACCTTTTCATTTGTAGATTTTGTGAACTGGGTTTGCTTAATTTTCCTCAGTTGATACCTTACTTTCTAAATTTTTTGCAAGGGTTATTGGTTTTGATATAATTAAGGACATATGTATTGGGTTTTGCATTTTATGAATTTAGCTGAATTTTTCCATTCTCTTTCGATTTTTGCTCTGTTATAATTCTAATTTATTGATATGGTTAAATTATGGAAAATGTGATCCCGATTTATTGGAATGTCATGAGCAGTATTAGAAGAAATATGGACCCCATTGTGAGGGCTGGAGTTGGATGATTTTTATTTAGATAATTGTTGTGTATAATAGCAATAGTAAGCCACAGGCACTCGAATGAATCCCAAAAGTTTGGGCGAGACATCCATTGAGTGTTTCATTTGTTTATTTTTAACTTAATGTGAACAGCATTTAGTTATATTTTTCTTCAACAACTGCGGAATTGCCATACTACCATGTGATCTGCCATGGCCGTCTGCCACAAATAACATAATACTATGAGATTTACCTTGGGTTTGGTTGCAAGTTGTTAGGAGAGAGGAAGGTTCTCCTAAAAGATGTAATTCTAATCATTAACGTGTTATTGGCAAGAAAATTCAGTTTAGCGGGGTTGAATTCGTGGCTTGTTCTTCCGCCTATTTTTGTATGGCTAGATGATTTGAGTTTGTTACATAGGAGAAAAATAGATATTTTGTGAATGGAATAACTAGTGACTTTCTTTATGATTAGGAAGTTTGTTTCCCCAATTGAGGTGTTTTTCTTCATGACTTTTTTATAAAGTTGAGGTTCTGGTGAATCCTTAATTTGCACCAGGACTTGATTGATAAATAATGTAATTTTCCAAAAGGAAAAGAAGATCGTCAATGGTGTCGCCATACAGTTTGTCTTTTTAAGTTGTTGACTTGTATAACATTTGATTGTCGGTTTACCATAATTTATTTGATTGTTTAGCTTTTGCACTAATCACTCAAAATTTTGAACTAATAACAACCTAAGTCTTTTAAGTTTTTAGAGAAATTATTCAGTGGTCTGGGAGCAATACACCTTACTCTGACATCAGTTGTTCCCCACAGTGGGCACAATCCATATTGTGTCTGAAGCAGATTACTTTCATAATTCCACATCAGTCTTATGAGTTTGCATGGTGGCCATCATGGTGTCCCTAATTTTAAAGTGTTTTTGTTTTATGCAGAAACTGGATTTTAAGTTTCCCCTAACGGTGTCATGCATTCATTTCATATGCTCGGCCATTGGAGCATACATCGTAATCAAGGTTTTGAAACTTAAACCACTAATAACAGTTGACCCTGAAGATCGCTGGAGAAGAATATTTCCCATGTCATTTGTGTTCTGTATTAACATAGTGTTGGGCAATGTGAGCTTACGTTACATTCCAGTTTCCTTTATGCAGACCATAAAGTCGTTCACTCCTGCAACAACAGGTGAGCTCCAGAAGATTTCTAACAGTGTATAAAATTGACGTCACCTTTAAAATGTTATACTGTGTTGTGACTTCAACTGACCTCAAAGGTTTCTAACAGTTGTTTTGCAGTGGCTGGTATGGAGAAAGTACTTTGATTGGAGAATTTGGTGTTCTTTGATACCCATTGTTGGAGGAATTCTACTTACCTCTGCTACAGAGCTTAGTTTCAATATGTTTGGATTTTGTGCTGCCTTATTTGGTTGTCTCGCTACTTCCACAAAGACGATCCTTGCAGAATCTCTTTTGCATGGATACAAATTTGACAGGTAGTATTTTTGTGTTTGCGGCCTTTAGATTGTTACCGTTACCTTCTTCTTGAAGTTTTTGTCAATTATGCTTACTTTATTTTTGTAGTTGTGATAATTTCTTATATGCGTGATGTCTTGTGCACAAATATGAAATATGTTGTTTAAACTTGGTGCGATGGCAAGTGCCTTCGCCCATGAGCGGTAGGTGTCGGGTTCGAGACTTGGGAGCAGCCTCTCCATAAATGGGGGTAAGGCTAGCCGACATTCACCTTTCCCAGACCCTGCGTAAAGCAGGAGCCTTGTGCACTGGGTACGACCTTTACCTTTTAAACATTTTGATTCACTGTTATTACACTTTCACTCTCATACAATGTTCACGAGCCTATAAGTTGAAGATATAAATTTGCAATCAGGTTCTGTACCAAACCTTCCAATATCAGTGTGTTGAAAGACCCCACTATAAAGATGATCTCCAAACCTCCATAATGGCAGCTCTAATTGATATGATATCCTGCTGAATACTGCATTTTCTCATTTTATTGGATTATTGAATAATTAAATCTTCAAATAAGAAGAATCTTGGTTGAATGAGTATAAGAATTTATGACACAAAATGCTCCTTTGCATTTTTATGAAAGAAGTTCATATAATATGTGCGATCCATGCGGTTCTTACAAGGCAATTAGTGTGATTGAGCATTTGGAAATGTTCTGAATATAGAAAGCAATTTTTATGGTGATGTGCCCTTAATGATGCAAAATTGCTGAGCAGTCTTGGAATTTTCTATAGGCTTATAGTCTTAGAACTGTTTGGATTGCCTTGTCATCCTTGTGAGGAATATGTGGGATTGAGTCCTTCTTCAGTGCAAACAACCCTTTTGTTGTTTTGTTTGTACCTTGTAGGAAATGAGCGCATTAACATCAGCCATTTCTTTTCCTTCCATATTTTAAAATCCTCAACCCTGGCATCTTGTTTGTTATTCTGATTTTCCTGCCTTGAAATTCCGTCATGTGGGTTATGACGTTAATGGTCTTCATTTTCATTGTGTTTGCTTGTTTTTCCACTCAAGTCAAGGAGGCTGTGTGTTTGAAACAGTTCTACTTTTATGTGTGCTCATTTTTTCACAGCTTCATGATTTATGCTGACATACTGTTATTCATTTTTTGGGTATACAATATAGCATAAACACGGTGTACTACATGGCACCTTTTGCGACTATGATCTTGGCTGTACCTGCAATGCTACTCGAAGGTAATGGGGTTATTGAATGGCTTCACACCCATCAGACTCTTGTTCCATCCCTCGTCATCATTTTCAGCTCCGGGGTATTGGCGTTTTGTCTCAACTTCTCCATATTTTACGTGATTCATTCTACAACCGCCGTAACATTCAATGTTGCTGGAAACCTCAAGGTAATTATAAAGCATAATCACTTGCCTTGTAATAGTCAATTCTGTTATATTTATATTATCCATCTTTGTGGCCAACTTGTGAAAGTCATGTCCAGTATATGATACGCGTTGGACATATTTTTAGCTCCGGCTGCTAGTGCTTTTACTTATGAACCATATCTTTCAACTTCTTGATCGTATTTATAATTTTTCGTTTAGTTTGGGGCTGGATTGTTCCTAGTGGCTCTATTTTGGCCAATTTAGTTATAACCCTTTTAGGCCATATCAAATACCTTGTCAATACATTCTGATACTAGGTTTTTTCGTTTTTTTTTTTTTTTTTTTTTTTTTTTCAAGGTAGCTGTTGCCGTCCTTGTGTCATGGATGATATTCAAAAACCCAATTCCAGCTTTGAACGCCGTTGGTTGTGGAATAACGCTTTTGGGATGTACATTCTATGGGTACGTGAGGCACCTGATCTCCCAACAGCTGCCTGGAACTCCTCGAACGCCACGGACTCCACGGGGTCGTATGGAGCTGCTTCCCCTCGTAAATGATAAATTAGATGACAAGGTCTAGTGGTTCAGTCCACGTGATTGAGATTGCTGGGAGCCGGAAAATGATTTATAGGAAACACAAAGAACTTACTATTCACTTCTAGTCTATGTAATTCTGCTTCATATCACTTGAATTTTTTTTTTAATATATGGTTCTGTTTTTCCACAACCTCCGCCACCCCGGTTCAAAATTATTTCGTGTTTAGATTGATAAAATGCAATGGAATAAAGTAGTGTTATAGTTATAATGCTATATGTTATATATATTTTGTGATAAGTAATGGTACACATTTGTTATATAATTTTTTTTTGGTATTTTAGCTAAAATAGTCTCTGAGCTTTGGCTTATTTACTTTGGTTCTTGAAATTTGAAATCTATAGAAGTGGTTTTTGAGTTTGTCTGCTATCAATTATTTTGGTTCTTCTGTAAAAAAATCTCTGTTAAATATGAATCAAAATGATAAAAATATCTTCAATTAATAAACAACGTGCCAAAATGATTTTACCAAAATTAAATGTATTTTTGTAATTTTATCCTTATTTAACGGAATTTTTTTACGAAAAAAATAAAATGATGGATGATAGACAAACACATGTACAAATTCTGTTAATTATAAATCTCAATGACTAAAATAAGGAGTTATGCCAATCTCGGGTATTATTTTGCATAAAAAAAACAATTTTTTGTAAAACAGGAGAAATAACAAAAAGCAAATACAAAAATCATAACAACCCACCAAACGAACCACGCATGGGTGAAATCTCAGACTAACACCCCAACTCCAACACAAGAAAATTATGGACTAGAACTAAACGTTACGTCTTTGAGATTCGACGGCAACGATTCCGACTAACATTATGATAACAAACACTGTAACTACCACCACACCGGAATTTCGCCGGCATGATTTGAAATCGCGTTCAGCCTTGGGGAGTTGATCCTCTTAACTCTTTATAAGTATCGGTTTGTCGTGAAACTAAGCACACAATGATGGGAGAAGAGATCTTACATGACTTATAAGTAAGTTGGGCTACTCTCTATCAAGGTATAAAATATCGATGATATCGGAAATATCAGTAGTCCAAAAACACGGAAATTTCGATGGAAATATTGGGATATTATTGATATCGATAAAAAATGAATAAAAACCACGAAAATTGTAAGAAAAACTTGGAAATTTTTATTGAAACTTTGCAGGATGTTTATTTAGTCAATTATCTATTAGTTTATTACAAAAAATTGGAAGAAAATTCATTGCATGATAAATATAACTGATTTAAGTTGATTATATAGCGAGCTGGTAAACATTGTGAGTGTAAAAAATAAGTAGTAATTAATGACAGAAGTTTAAACACACCATAATAATTTATATATAATGAATTAGTACAATATTTTACACTTTATACATTGCATGGTAAGATATATGAGTGACTTAGCAAGGTCTAAAATATCGATGATATCGGAAATATCGATAGTCCAAAAAAATATCGGTAGTCCAAAACACGAAAATTTCGATGGAAATATCGGGATATTATGAATATTTTAGAGCATGCTCTCTATATAAATGATTTATAGTGGAACCTCAATTTTCTTCATGGTTGGAGCATGTTAGCCCACGTGTGAAACCAAAGGGCCACAAACGCTTCACGGATCACTTTATCTTTATAGTGACGGCCGACATTTTCCATGATCACATCAATGATCAGTCTCGGGAACAGGAGAACCAACCAACGCTAGTATGTGGGAGGTAGCGTTGACGCGAGAAAGAAATTCAGCAGTCGACCCTTCCACATTAGTAGTGTTGCGATACATGTTTCTGACTGGATGAGGCATACCATTCTTCCAAAATTAGCCACGTTTTGCCAGCTGTACGGTCCTGGTGAGCGATGAAGCCAAGCACATAAGTGCGTAAGGAGCCATTTCGTCGGGCAATGTTCGTCGCTACAAACTCTTTGCGCAAAGACAGAAATTCATATTTGTCGGGCAAATTCATTGAATTACCGACAAACATTTGCAAAGTGCGTTGACCAACTTGGCTAGACGAACATTGTCCGATTACACTTTTGTCGGGCAAATAACATAAAAAATAAAAAAGAACCTACAATAGCCATAGGATTTATCCCACATAAATGAGATTAAATCATTATCGTTGGTCCATGGCGGTCAATGATAAACGCCGGTCAGCAATGGTCAAAGCTGCCATACTAGCTTTTCATTTTGGGTTAATTTCAGTTTACTACTATGAAGTTTCTCGATTTTCAATCTTTGGTACATTAAGTTTTTTTCGTCCCAGTCTGGTACCTAAATTCATAATTATGAGACACTTTCATACATCCGTTAAGTTTTCTGTTAGAACCTCCGTTAACTAATGACGTGGTGCGCATGTGGACAATGATTGAACGTCACGTGTCAATATGGGGCCCATGTGAATATTAAAACATTAAAAGAAATAAAAAATTAAAAAAAAATTATGGGCATCCTACCTCACCCTTCCCGACCCTCTCCCTCATTCTCCCTTTCTTCCATGCACCCATCCTCCCCACACACCCACCCATCTGCTCCGTTCCCTCCCTTCTCTCCTTTACACCCACCCAAGCTCTATACCCTACCCACCCTCACCCTCTTCACATCCTCTCCCTTCTCTTTCCTCCACCCTCTTCACCCAATTCCTCCCATCAGATCATCGTCGTATTTGAAACCCCTAAACTTGTCGCCGTCACCAAGGCCTCCAAAATGCTGATTCGCTACTAGCTCCGTTGATCCACTGCCACTAGCGGCCAACCTTCGATAACACCGACCCATTTGTGCGGCGACGAGGCCTACGTCATACCCAGATAGGTGGAAGAGGAGCGAGTTGATGGGTGGGTGTGCGAGAAAGGTGAGTTCAGAGGAAAGAAGGGAGGGACAAAGAGGGGAATGGGTGGGTGTGCGGGGAGGATGGGTGCAAGGAAGAGAAGGGAGGGGGTCGGGAGGGGTGAGGTAAGATGCCCAGTTTTTAATTTTTTAATTTTTTAACATTTTTAATATTCAAGTGGGCCCCATATTGACACGTGGTGTCCAATCATTGTCCACGTAGGCGCCACGCCATAAGTTAACGGAGGTTCTGACGAAAAATTTAACGGATGTATGAAAATGTCTCAAAATTATGACTTTAGGTACCAGATTGAGACGAAAAAAATTTCATGTACCAAATGTTGAAAATGAAGAAACTTCAAGGTAGTAAACTGAGATTAACCCTTTCATTTTTCTTTCCTAAATCTTATGTTTTTCTCTGTATTGAATCATTAATACACAATTGTCTTGATGGACTCTTACGTGCTATGTAACGTCCCACATTGCCCAAGGGAGTGGATCTTGTAAGCCTTATATGTATATTCTCATATCTACCTATCACGAGGCCTTTTGGGAGCTCACTAACTTCGGATTCCATAGGAACTCTGAAGTTAAACGGGAAAGGGGCCAGAGCATTCCCATGATGGGTGACCCACTGGGAAGTTCTGCTCGCGTCAGTTCCCAGAAACAAAATTGTGAGGGCGTGATCGGGGCCCAAAACGAACAATATCGTGCTACGGCGGAGCCGAGCCCGGGATGTGGTGGGGGCCCGGGCAGGGATGTGACAATTTGGTATCATAGCCAATCCCTGGCCGGAAGTGTGCCGACGAAGACATAGGGCCCTTAAGGGGGGTGGATTGTAACATCCCACATCGCCCAAGGAAGTGGATCCTGTAAGCCTTATATGTATATTCCCATCTCTACTTAGCACGAGGCCTTTTGGGAGCTCATTGGCTTCGGATTCTATAGGAACTTCGAAGTTGAGCGAGAAAGGGGCCAGAGCATTCTCAGGATGGGTGACCCACTGGAAAGTTCTACTAGCGTGAGTTCCCAAAAACAAAACCGTGAGGGCGTGGCAGGGGCCCAAAGCGGACAATATCGTGCTACGGCAGAGCCCAGCCCGGGATGTGGTGGAGGCCTAGGCTGGGAGGTGACATGCTAGCATTCATAAAGAATGTTCGTAAACCACGTAAATGTCTTGATAGCCATGCAACGGGTCGGGTTTATTAGGTTTGGGTTAGGTTGAACTTGACCCGTTAATGTAACTGGTCACTCAAACAAGTCATCCAAATTTAGCCCGTTAATCTAATAAGTCACATGTTTCAGCTGTTAACACCCGTTAACATTTTGTTTTTTGTTTTTTGTTTTGTTTTTTTTGTAATTTTTGCATTCCAACACAAATTACACATATTCTAATCGAAATTACACATATTAACTAACAGTCTAACATCATATATTAACTAACAATTGAAATTACACAAATTACAATCTTCCAAATTAATCTCTATTAATTTATGAAACCCTCTTTGTCAACCAAAAGAGGGTGATAATACTACCTAGTCTTCTATCACACAAAAAATTGATGGGCAATAATGTAATTTCATAAGTCCAAATTTTACTATTTTTTTATTGAAGCCTCACCTACAAGTGATGTTAAAATACCTCCACTATTAAAAAAAAAAACCAAAAACAAAAACCTCCCACTCCCCGCACGTTCTCTCTCTCTCTCTCTCTCCCTCTCTCCTTCTCATTAAGAAAAAAATGTTTTCATACACACAAAGTGTGTAGGCAAATGCTAGTAATTAATTAATAAAACTCCATAACAAGGATTTTGCAAAATGTGATTGAGTAGCATAACTATATGGAGTATGCCGTATTCAACATCATTGAGAATGTACCGCCCAATTACATTGCCACTTCAAGGAAGGATTTGTAGATCGAACACCAAAAAATCTACAACACACGAGCATAACACACGCACAAAACATAATTATTGGAATGGTGCAATGTGAATTCCATTCTCCATTCATGTTCCTTAGAACTATTTTGCACTACTCCTTGTTACCAAAAACTAAAGAGGAAAGATAAGATAATGGTACAGCTGATAAGGTGAACACAAAATGACCTAGCTGTGCACCAAGGAGGATCTAAAAGTTTAGAACCCTATTTGTCAACCAACAATAACACTCACGACTTCCAAAATTTAGGGACAAAACTGCTGTATATATCCTGAATTTGTATTTTCATCCATAATTCGAGTGAAACTTCTAGCGTACAGTTGGGGATATATTTTCGCTTTCTTCTATCTCTTATCATGTAACGTGACAAGGTTAAGTAAAATATAAAAAAGAGGAGGATATATCGCCGAGACACCCGAAAATGAACTTAATATTGTCGTGTCAGTGAGACAACATCACATAAGCATTCTCCGAATGTAAAGAATC